TGCCCACAAGAGTAGAAATGGGGACCCTGGCTTTGACATCAGAGGTTGTCATGAAGATTGCTCTGCCATGGCTGGGAGCACAGTGTCTTAAAAATGAAAGAGGGCTGTTAGAGGAATGCAGCTTTTTTGAAGAGGAAGAAAACAAATTTCTCCGGGGAAAGGCTGATTACTGCGCCAGCACCATGTGGACCCCACATGGTGGCACTGTTTCCCCATAATGTCCGTGCCTGAGTGACCTCACCAGTTCCTTCGCACACCCCATCCACCAGGAAGTAAATCCTGAGGCCAATGTGCGTCAGGACTGCCCTTCCAAACAGCCTCTGACCACAAAACCCTTTCGAAGTTTCTGAGACCTCAGCAGGAGCACGGGGGTTATCTCCTGCCCGGATTGGAGAAGAAAGCAAGAATAGTCCTAGAGACAAACCACTGGCTTCAAGATTGGATCAATTTCCCCCAAAATTGTAAGTAGAGACTTAAAAATTACAATTTAGAAACATCAGACAGTTTTTACAGACCTAGTGTTGACATTGTAAATATCTAGCTCTACCAGTGCTTCATTGATTAGATGACATACATCAAGGTTATCAGCAGTCCCTCAGCAGCTAACATGTTCTACCTTCAAGCCACAGGCAGCCAATCACCTGCCATACTGAAGGGGGCACCACTGAGAGCGAGATGATGTTCTTTATAAGAATAACTATGTTAAATGTGTACAGTGTTTTAAAAATCTTTTTAAAAACTACATTGAATTCATTTTTACTTGAAAAATGTATGACAATTTACTCTTAAAAGGTGAAAGTTGTCCATAAGTCAACCACTTAAAACACATGAGCATTTATTGAGTGCTTACTATGTGCTAGACCTTGTCTTAAACACTCGAAATGCATTACATCATATGTATAAGGTAGTGGCTAGGATCCAGAGAAATGAAATACCTTTCTCAGGATCAAACAGCCAGTGCCAGGTGGAAGTTAGGTTTAGATCTGGGTAGTCTGGCTCCAGAGCCAGTCCTGTCAACAATTTATCTGAGTGAAATTTCTTCCCCAGAGAAAATTGCTAGTACTGTTTTGCTGTATGTTCATTTAGTTTTTCTTTTTTCCCATGGTCACACACAGAGACACAAACAAACAAGCTCACGCTAGATATCTTATTTTGTGGCTTATATTTTTTTCATTTAATATATCCAGGTCATCTTTCCATTTCAATAGAATTAGTTCTATTTCACTTTTGTAATGTCTACATAATATTCCTTCGTGTGGATATTGCCTAATATATTTAATCAGCCTCCTATCTCTATTTATATATAAAAAAGTCTAAGTGACCGAATGGCTGAACAACTGAATGACCAGTTGACTGGTTGCTATGACACACATTGACCACCAGGGGGCAGACGCTTAAACAGGAGCTTCCCCCTGGTGGTCAGTGCACTCCCACAGTGGGAGCACTCCTCAGCTGACCGACAGGCACCAGAGGTAGGGCTCACAGCTGGCAAGTGCCACTGCAGCGGCACGAACCTCTCCTGATCGGGACTGACTGGGCACAAGCCCACAGCAGTTGCAGTGGGCCTGGGATGAGTGGAAGCAGCCAGCAGAAGCGGCAGGTGGCATTGGACAGCCAATTTCCGTCCGATCCCCACAGGCCACACCAAAGGACCCCAGCGGTGCACAAACCTGTGCACTGGGCCTCAAGTGTATATATAAAAGCCTAAGCAACCCGCTGACCATTCAGTAACTATGACGCTCACTGACACCAGGAGGCAGATGCTCAGTGCAGGAATGGCAACCACAGCCATGGAAACATGAAACAGACTGATGAATCTCAGAGAGAAGGGGAAAGGAGGCGGGGCGGGCGGGGGGGGGGGGGGGCAGGAAGAGATTAACCAAAGATCTTATATGCATATCCTGTTTCCCCGAAAATAAGACAGTGTCTTATATTAATTTTTGCTCCCAAAGATGCGCTAGGTCTTATTTTCATGAAAAAAGAATACGGTACACATTTATTGTTAAATAAAAATAAAGGAAATTTATTACCTGTATATGGTACAGTAGTACGGTAGTTGTCAACACAAACCAGAAAAACTGTGAATCCTACAGTATCAAGTATTTACTCATTTATTCAATGACAATCATGTCATCATCTTCTGGAACATCATCTTAACAATCCAATTCCTGAATTTCCTGGTGAATTTCTTGTGACTCCATTTCTTTCAGAATCAGTGGACCAAATCTCTCGTGTTTAGCCTAGGGGGGCCTTATTTTCAGGGGGATGCCTTATATTTCACTCTGAAGGAAACCCGTAAGTAGGTCTTATTTTCGGAGGATGTCTTATTTTCGGGGAAACACGGTACTAGTCAACTCTTTTAATGTCTATTGACTAGAGGCCCGGATTTGTTCGCTGGTGGGGTCCCGTGGCCTGGCCTGTGGGATCAGACTGAAACCAACTCTCTGATATCCCTCAGGAGTCCTGGGTTGTGAGACGGCACAGGCCAGGCCAAGGGACCCCACTAGTGCACGGATCTGAGCCTCTAGTTAAGAGAGTTGGCTCTTGCAAATTGTGATAAGTATAACTTATATGTCCTTATGTTCAAATATTTGGAGAAAATATATTACTCACATTGGTTATTTTCTTTCCTTTTTTAAAGACTAGCTTATTGATTTTTAGAGAGAGAGGAAAGGAGAGGGAGAGAGAGAGAAACATCCATGTGAGACATTAATCAGCTACCTCCTGCATGCCCCCCACCGGGGACTGAACCTGCAACCTGGGCCTGTGCCTCACCAGGAATCAAACTGATAACTTCCTGGTGCAGGGAGCAATGCTCCACCAACTGAGCCACACTGGCCAGGGCTGGCATGGCTTATTTTCACATGACATTTATTAGTATCTCTTAAAATGCTAATGTTTTGCGGAGCATTGGGAAGCAAATCGAAATACTTCAAAAGCTGTAATAAGCTTCAGTTTGTGTCAATCACACCCCTTTTGTGTCACAAGGCCATGGTCATGCAGCAGAACCACCTGTAGCCAAGTCTCTTGCCCCACATCCCCAGCCCATTCCCACACATTCAAACATCGCAACTCCTGGAAGACAAGACAAAGGCAGCATGCAGCAGAGAGGCAGAGGACCCACACTCTCCAGCCTCAGGCCTAGCATGTTGATCTCTACATTTTGGCCCGAGGGGATAAGAATTCAGTGGGTGAGCAAAGGATTGATGAGCCAGGAAAACTGGCTCAGGAGATGTGAGGAGATAGCTACAAATGTTTGCAGCAAGATACATGGGGACTTTGAAAATGTGCCCATCCGTCAGCTTTGTCAAATCTAAATATTTTGTGGTATTGAAAATGAAGAAAAGAAAAAGAGGAAAAGCAGAAAACTGGTTTGGCTCAGTGGATAGAGTGTTTATCTGTGGACTAAAAGGTCCCAGGTTTGATTCCGGTCAAGGGCATGTACCTTGGTTGCGGGCACGTCCCCCATAAGGGCTGTGTAGGAGGCAGCTAATCGATGTTCCTCTCTCATCGATGTTTCTAGCTCTCTATCCCTATCCCTTCCTCTCTGTAAAAAGCCAATAAAATATATTTTTTTAAAAAGAAAAAGAGAAAAAAATAGTTCCGATTTGAGGTGTATGTGTGGGGTAGAGAGCTTGTTATCTTTTACATTCTGTTAGATGGAAGTTTACTAATAAAGCATACTATGTAACAGCAAAATTTACATATAATGCCATGTGTTATTAGTTTTCTTCTGTTGGCTCTTCTATGTTACATAAACCTCTAAGTGATAGAAACCTAGTGTTTTTATTAATATGTGCATTTTTAGCCCAGGGAGAGGGGGCAAGTGAGCCTTTGAAGTGCCTAAATTCATATATAGAGCTAGATTTTTTCCTGTGATTTTTTAAAAAAAAAAGAATAGTTTATTGATTTTGAGAGAGAGAGGAAGGGAGAGGGAGAGTAAGAGAGTAACATCAATACAAGAGTGGAACATCAATTGGCTGCTTCCTGCATGTCCTTACCAGAGATCAAGGGCTCTGTGGTTATTATTATAACTTCTCAAAATTAGAAAATGTTAGGTTACCTATCTATGAAATATATATATATAAGCATATATATATATATGCTTAACCAATCATCCAACCGTTTGACCTTGCAAACTGTTACCTAGAACATCTACTGACCACCAGGGGGCAGATGCTCAACACAGGAGCTGTTAATCTGTGGTGACTTGGCAGCTGTGGTTCTCGGGTGACACACCTTGAACCAGAGAGGAGAGAGCCTGATTCCGGGTGTGTCACCTGAGAACCGCCCTGTCACAATCTGGGACCCCTCAAGGGATGTCAGAGAGCTGATTCCCGCCCCATCCCTGCAGGCCAGGCCGAGAGACCCACCTGTGCACAAATCCGTGCACTGGACCTCTATCATAGTTTAAATAAAACATTGCAGACATATCTGAAGCCCCTTACCAGAATACTAGGTATGAATGCATTTTGTTGAGATTTGCATTCCTTTGAACACTAGTGAAATTGAACATTATGTGCCATTGGTTTTTTAAATTTTATTGTTTGTGAATTTCTTAACTATAACTTGCCAATTAAAAATGGTTTGGCCTTTTAATGACTTATCAGTTCTGGCTACTAAACCTTTACCCATTATATGCATTGCCAATGCCATCTCCCTGTCTGTGCCTCATCCTTCCCTTTATTCCTGGTGTCTTCTTTGTACTCAAGTTTTTCCTATGAACAGAGTCAAATATCTTACATCCCTCCTTGACCGTGTGTGCTTGTGATGCCTTGCTGACAAAGTCTTCCTGCACTCTGAAGTCATAAAAACACATTTTTGTCTGAACATTTTATTGTTTGGCGAATGGCATTGGGTTTAGAATTGATTTTTGTGTAAGCTATAGGTAGGAATCTCATTTTCTCCCCACCCCCTACCCCCCGGGATAGATAGCTGTGCCCTCTCCCTTGGGCAGGGGAGCAGGAGAAAGCCAAGCTCTCTTATCTGAGGCCACTGGTTCACTGGGAATCTCTCCTCTTGACTCCCAGCTGAGTCAACCACACCCCTTCATCCGCTCTGGGATCCTGGAAGCGCCTTTCAGACAAAGCTATGCTGCCCCTTCCCCTCCCAGCACCTTTACCATTCCTCCAGCTGTAGCCATGATTGTTTTGTATTGTCATTCTTTTTTTCATACATCTCTCTACTGTGTACATGTGTGGGAACACACACACACACGCATACACACACACACACACACACTGCAATGAATCCTTACAGGACCAGAGAGCTAGAAGCATTGTGGCTACTAAAACTTCAGGATCTACCATTGACTAGCTGGGTGACTTTGGGAAGTTACCTAATCTCTCTGTGCCTCAACTTCTCCATCTGTAAAATGGGGGGAAGTACTGATCTAAGAGGGATGCTTAAGTCACTAGAGCACGTGGAAGGATGCGGCCCATAAGAAGCACTCCATAAATGCTGGCTTACGACAGGGAGTCTCTGTATCCCCAAACCTGAGCAGTGTCTGGCAGTTGGCAGGGACCCATGAGAACTTGTCCAGTGAATACAATTATAGGAGCTCTAGTCTGAGCACATCCTTTGGGTTTTGTTAGTTTGTGAGGAACAGGACCCCTGAGTGGCTACTGAGGCTGCAGCCAGAGCAATGCCAGCAAGAAGCCCACGTCGGGGAGATGGTGGTGAAGAGGGGTTTGTAGACTGCAATACAGACGAAGACAGAGCGCTACCAGGGACTCAGAGCTATGAAGGAGCAGAGGTCAGTGAGGTGTAATTAATGCCAATGACCTTTTCAAAGCCCCGTCAGGCAGGTGGGAGAACGGGTACAGCAATGGCCCTGCCTCCAGCAGGCAGACCTGGTTGCCGAGGAGGACTCGGTGGGAAGGGCGGTGGGTAGGGCAGCGCTGAGCTCTGAGGAGCCAAGGTGATGCTCAGAGTATCTGCACCCACCATGCTCCCTGCCTCCCTCACCCCTTGGCCCTGAGGTCTGCATGATCACACTCCCCTGGCCCCTCAGACTGGGACAGACCGCGTCCTCCAGCCAGGAACCTGGGAGAAGGTGATGTCAGCAGGGATGTCACAAGCGACAGGCATTTAGTCCACCTCATCCAAGAACAGACCTCCTCCTTCCACACCAGCCTGAGGACTTCAAACCTCTGCCCAACCTTCCTTCTCTCCCCTCCCTCCCTTTCTGGTCCTCAGGTTCCATCCTGAGGGCAAGGCTGAGGTCCCATCATGACTGAAAGCGAGCTAGGTAGTGATGGAAAATTCCCAAACCAGCCACCTGAGCAGGAGGCAGCGAGCTCCCAGTCCTGGGAGACACAGGAGCAGAGACCACCCCTTCTTCCCAGGGCTCAGGGTCCCCCTTCAGGGCCTGCCTCCTGTGTGCGTGGATTTCAGGGAAGCAGGCACCGGGCTCACCGCTCTGTCTGCCTGAGACACAGTGGGCAGAGGGGTTGCGGTTTCTGGGGAAGGCAGAGGTGCCCTGGGCAGTTCTGATGAAGCTGTGTGGGCCGCAATAGGAAGGGACGCTTCCCTACCTGGCGCCTGGCAAGGCCAAGGCTGAAAGGGACCCCCTGAGGGGTGGGGGAGGATGGATTAGAATCAGGAGGCCAAGAAGGAGGAGAGGAGCTGGGGTGGCAGATAGAACTTTGCAGCCTGGCCTGGAGGGCCTGAGAGGACAGTTAAGGGAGGGGCGCTCATGGGGACAGTCACCCGCAGAGGAACTTTCCTAACCGTCAGGATTTCACAGCCTGGTCAGGGAGGAAGTGAGACCAGAGAGGGAGGCAAAGACTGGGTTACTCAGAAGCACTGGGTCCCAGACCCTCTCGGGTCAGAAGGGAGTGGGCCGGGATCCAGAAACCCCACAGTCTGCCCGCAACCCTCAGACTCAAACCTTCTCTCCTCTGGGTGATGAGGCTTTCCTTCCCTTGCTCCCCCCTCCTCATCTCTGCTCCAGAAAGGGATGGTCTTTGCCAGTTTGGGACGGTCTCGGCCACAAGAAGTCACCCGTCCCTGGTCACCCCTCACACAGCTGCTCACTGCGGAGTGACTTCTGCCTTCAGATCCCGAGCTCCTCCTGGGCAGCCAGCCGGGTGCAGGGCTCAGTTTTTAGTGATGCTGGCATATTCCACATCCAGAAATGGGTCATGTATGGGCTTCGGGCCGGGATGGGTGTTGATGTAGATGGGGTTCTCCAGGCCTAAAGGCTCCAGGTGGGTGAATGAGGCATAGTGGATGTCCCCAGTGTCCTTGCCAGAGCCTATCTGCTGATCGGAGCCCTGGGAATCAAAGACAGACAGAAGTCCATTGTATGGATTACAGCTGGGAGTGGTCCGTGGCCCCTGGGTGTCCAGTGCCGAGGATAGGGACGGGGATAAGGTACGGGACAGGGTGTGGATTCTGTAGGAACTCTGGGGATGGCAGAAGGCAACCAGGGCACCATCACTGAACATGACTAAGAATGAGGAAGGTGAAGAACCAAGATGCCAGCATAGGCAAGCATGGTACTTTCAGCCTCCCACAACCACATCAAAATTATAACTAACATAGAGAGCAACCATCATTCAGAACCGCCAGAAAGCTGGCTGATGGAAGTCCTACAATCAGAGAAGTAAAGAAGAAAGCACATTGAGACTGGTATGAGGGGCAGAGGTGTGGAACAGTCTGGTCCAACACACTCGGGTGGCGTGTTTATAATTGGGGGTGGAGGGTGGGATATCTTGGCTGTGAAGGCCTCTCGTGAGGAGAAGCCTCACACCAAAACCTTCAGCTCACATTTCCAGTGCAGGGAGGAGAAGTCTCCTTAACTTTGGGCTATAAAAACCAATGGGGATTATGGCTGAGTGACAAGGAGGCTAGGCTGCTGGAGTCCCTCTTAAAGAGCCAGTGCATGAACTTACTCAGATTTGCTCCCTCTGAACTCCCTCAGTGCTCAGGTAATGGCTTAGAGGGATCCAGGGACATACAGAGAGGAACTGGATTGTCTGGCATTGGAGCAAGAACTTGGGAGTGGCTTTGCTCACAAGGTTCATGGTTGCTATGCTGAGACCTCCACGGTCACAGAGCTGATTAGCAACCACATCTGAGTCTCCATCTACCTGGTTCACACTCTTTGCTCAGGTGATTCCGTGAGACCTTGCCTCATCCAATTTGCAATCCTACTCGAGGTATTTGCAGCACTTTTTCCATACAATTGACCTGTCCTGGCTCAGGCTTTCCTCAAACAATCAGCAGCTGGTGTCAGCATGCCCCATATTTATCAATAAGTGGCCCAAGACCAGGCACTAACAGCAGCCTGCGTTGCTTCACAGCTTGGCCCCTCCTGGCTACTTTCAAGCCCAACACAAATAGCAGCCATCTGCAGATTACTCTGTAGTTCAGGGAGGAGGGCCCCAGGTAGTGGCTGATTTTGCACCTAATGTGAGGCCCCAGAGCCAGTGCACTCAGTGGACAGCTTCAGACCACACCAGATTACCACTCTACACATCCACGAGTGATGCACTCAAGGGGCAGACTCAGTGTCCACCAAAACCCCACTGAAGCAAGTTATGCTCCACAGGGGTGTCTCCTGTACAGTAGCTCTTCTGCTGTAGTCACAGCTGGGCCTGGAAGTCAATTTATCCCAGTGATACCAATAGTAATCAAGGCTCAACTATAACAAGACTATGCACACAGCCCACACAGGGATGCCCCTAGAATGCCTAGCTCAGATGACTGGGGAAGCTAAGCCACTGGGCCCTATAGGATACCTACTACACAGGCCACTCTACCAATTCCAGGAGACATATATAGTAGCTCTATCTAATACATAGGACAAACACAGAGAAGCAGCCAAAATGCAGAAACAAAGAAACATGTCACACAAAAAAGAACAAAAGAAATCTCCAGGAAAAACACACACAAAACAATACTAAATGAAATGAAAGCAAACAAACTACTAGATACAGAGTTCAGAATAATGGTTATAGGATGCTCAAGGATCTCGTTGACAGCTTCAAGAAGCTTAATGAAAATTTCAAGAATCTAAATGAGAATTTTAAGAACCTTAATGAGAACATAAAAAAATAAAAAAAAAACATGAAAAAGGACCAGTCAGAAATTAAGCCTACACTAACTGAAATAAATAATAATTTACAGGGATTCAACAATAAAGTAGAGGACACTGAGAATCAAATCAGTGGGTTGGAATATCAAGAAGCAAAAAATATTCAGTCAGAAGAGCAAAAAGAAAAAGAACCCAAAAACATGCAGGTAGTGTAAGGAGCCTTTGAACAACTTCAGCATGACAATATTCTTAGTATGGGGCTGCTAGAAGGAGAAGAGAGAAAGCAAGATTTTGAAAAACTATCTGAAGAAATAATGACAAAAAACTTCCCCTGGTTGGTGAAAGAAATAGACTTACGAGTCCAGGAAGTGCAGAGTCTTAAATAAGAGAAACCCAAAAGAGGCCCACACCAAGACACATCATAATTAAAATGCTAAAGATTAAAGATAAAGAGAGAATTCTTAAAGCAGATAGTTACCTACAAGGGAGTGCCCAAATGACTGTCAGCTTATTGCTCAACAGAAACTTTGCAGACAAGAAAAATTCAAAGTGATGAATAGTAAGGACTTACAACCAAGATTACTCTACCAGCAAAGTTGTCATTTAGAATTGAGGGTGAGATAAAGAGCTTCACAGACAAGAAAAAGTTAAAGGAATTAATCACCAACAAATCAGTATTACATGAAATGTGGATGGGTATTCTTTAAGAAGAGGAGAAGGAGGAGTAAGAAGAAGAAATATGAACAAAAAAATTGCAATAAATACATATCTGTCAACAACTGAATGTAAAAATCAAAACAAACAAGTAGTCTAATGAACAAAATAAACTGATGAATAAAATAGAACCAGAGCCATGGAATAGTCTGACAAATCTCAGAGGGAAGGGGAGTGGTGGGGAAAGATTAACTAAAAAATTTACATGCAGATACGTGTTATCTATGGACACAGACAATAGGGTGGCAAAGGCCTGGGGCAGGGTAGGAACAGGTGGAGGGGGGCATTGGGTGGAAAAAGGGGGACATCTGTAATACTCTCAACAATACATATATAAAATAAAATAAAAGAATACATAGAGTGCAGTAAGGTCAGAGGGCCAACAGCACCCCAGATCTATTAGCCCAAAGTCTCTGGGGGTGGGACCCAGAGTGGCTGAGCCACTGACCATCATGACCCAGCAGATGAGTCGGCATTAAAATTTGTCTCCCACAGAGGGAAGGTCAAAAGCTTGGTCAGTCAGCTTTTCCCTCCTTCTCTGAGGAATTTGAATTGGGAAATATGGGGAAAGAACATGCATAGACAAAGCATTAGGGGCATGACCAGTCACAAGTGAGCTCAGGTTCAGAGTAAATAGAAACTGTAAGTAAACAGAAGCCAGGAAGTTGGAAGAAGAAGAAAGAGGAAGAGGAGGAGGAGGAAATGAAGGAGATGAGGAGGAGGAGGAGGAGGAGGAGGAGGAGGAGGAGGAGGAGGAGGAGGAGGAGTGGCAGCATCTTGGCCCATGTGGCTCATTGGTTGAGTGTCAACCCATGAACCAAGAGGTCACCAATTCTATTCCTGGTCAGGGTACATGCCCGGGTATGGGCTCAATCCCCAGTAAAGTACATGCAGGAGACAGGCGATGTTTTTCTCGCATCGATGTTTCTGTCTCTCTATCCTTCTCCCTTCTTCTGTAAGATCAATAAAAACATATTTTTTAAAAAAAGAATAATAATGAAAACAAAGATACCCAGGAAAACTGAGAGTCCCTCTGACGTGCGGGGGGGTCTGTCCGAAGCACAGTTTCATCCTCATGGGTGGAAATGTCATGGATGTGGTGGGCTTTGCCCTCACCTGTGAAAAAACAGGTTTAAAGGAGAGACCCCTGTCTGCCTCTCTCCTGGCAATTCAGGTGATGCTGGGGGAACTGGCTGGGCAGAAGGGACCCTGCCTGACGGGGGAGAGGCTGGGCTTGGCTGGGAGGTGCCATCCTGAGGGAGGTCCAGCACAGATCAGTGCCCGAAAGCAGATGTTAGTGCCAAACGAAGGAGCAAGTCTGATTGGCTGCCTGCATCTAATTTGCATCAAACCAGTAAACTTGATCAATTCTAGGTCCAGGGACCCATCGCTGGTAGGTGGTTAATAAACACAGCGCGAATGTCCTGTACAAACCAACAGAAAACAAGGTAGGAATCATCAAGAGGCACGGGTACAATCATCTTGCACAACCTGCCGTAGACTTCACGCGTGCTCAGTGCCAAAACTTAGAACTTGGGAGATTAAAAAGCGCTCCCGGTGCTCTTAGGCAGGCGGTGTTTAAATGTGATAGCAACGATTAAAAACACAGCGCCACACCCCAGGAAGGCCTTCGGATCCATTTGTTTTAAAATCCTCAACTACAAAACGACGATAAAATATCTGGTCTCAAACAGACACTAGAATACCCAGCGTTAGGCAAGTTGGCGCTGGCCTGTCAGCCTGCTTCCTGGTTGGTAACCAGCATAACCCTGTCTCACTGCTCTAGGCTCTTCACATGGCGTGCTCAGGACAGGGTGGCTTTACCTGCCCTGGCTCGGCGCCGCTGCCGGGCTTTGATGGCAAAGTACAGGATCACCAGGAGGGTGAGCGCCAGCAGCAGCGGGAGCACCACCATCGCGCTGAGGATGACCTTCGAGTGGTCTGGGAAGCTGTGGAACGAGGACCAGGTGAGGAGAGAAGGAGCCAGGCTTCTGCGGAAAACTCATCCCTTCCTGTGGTCTGCAGGTCTCATCCCATTGCCTGGGAAGCTCGGTTCTCACCACCAGAGGCAGTCACGACTTGGGCTGCCTGACACCCGCCCCTGCCTGCACCCCTGTCCTGGGTCTGCTGGAACCTGGCCCCCGGAGCTCAGGGACAAGGGTGGGAGAGGACGACAGGGATTCGGGGAAGGATGTCCCAGAGGCCTGGCAGCTGGGGGGCCAGGCAGAGTGTGCACCGCCTCTAGGTGCTGTGTCCTTCCGTGCCGAGGGTCATGGGGGAGTGGGGTCTACAGAGGGGCAGCATGTGCGGGTCTGCCTAACCCAGGGGCCCCTGATCCTGGGCAAGCAGCGACGGTGCCACCTGCCTGCCACAAGGCACACCTTGGCCTCTGCCTGGGTCTTGCACCCGCCACCTAGGGGCCAAGTGTCCGCACCTGTCCCACCTCTGGGAGTGTTTCCTTCCTCCTCTGAAAGCAGGAATGCTGACTGTGTCTCCAGGTTTGCTCTGACTGCTTGCTGTCCCCTCTCTGGCCTTCGGGCCCCTGTTTTGGGATCTGTGCTCACCTCTCCGGCAGCTTCCCTCAACTTGGTCCCAGCCCCTCACCCTCAGCCTTGGCTGAGAGGTGCAGTCAGCTCTCGGAGAATACCCGTGTCCTTTGACAAAGAGCTGCGTACGCAATAAGCGCCTTCTCACAGGCCCCATCTTCAGTCAAAGGAAGAAAAGGTGGACTTTCCCACATCGCAGCAGGCCCCTGGGGCAGCCGCCTGGGGTGTCAGGTGTCACGGGGCCAGGCAGCAGCTCTGGGGACACTGACTACTCAGCTGCACTGACAGCACCCTTAGTGCCTGCTGTAATGCCTAGGAGAGGGAACTGGAGTTTGCCGGAGCTCAGGATTTGCAGTGACAGATGGCGGAGAGAGGGTGGGAGGGCAGAGATGGGAAGAAAACCAGCACTCAGGCCAGTCACAGGGCCAGGGGCCCGGGAACCACGCGGCAGAGGTAAAGTCAGGTCATGGGCAGAGGCCACTGCGATGAGCCTTTCCCCGGACCCCGTGACTCCCCTGAATGGAAGGGACGGGCTGGAGCAAGGAAAGGGAACAGAGTGGGTGAGGCACTGGGTCCTTTGTGTCCCCAGAGACAAACTTGGCACCATCTGGAGACATTTTCGGTTGCCTGGGTACCTGGCACAATGGGTACCCGGGGGAGATGTGAGCTATTACGGGCTGGTGGGTAGAGGCCAGGGATGCACAGGACAGCCCCTCACAACAAAGAATTGTCTGGCCCTCAATGTCAATAGTGCCAAAGGGAGCAAACCCTGGAGTACGGGGTGCCGGGAAAGTCACTGACTCCATTTTGCAGATGAGAAAACTGAGGCTCGAAGAGGTAAAGTGACCTGGAAAAGACCCCATGTCATCCCCTGAGGGCCAGGTGCCATGGGAACATGTAGTTGGAGGTATCCGGCATGGCTGGTGATGGAGGCGGAAGAGGACAGGGAGGGGGACAGTACCTGTCACTGTCACTGACAGGGCTGTTGGCAAAGGTCCCGGTGGTCCCGATGGTCCTGGTGGTGGGCTGGGTTGGAGCTGTGAGAGACGACAGTGAGGGGAGCACTCTGTTTGCCCCACACCCCAGGGCCCGGCCTCCTAGCCCAGCCCCGGGCGGGAGGAGCCCACGCATGGCCTGGACCACGCGAGGCCTGAGAAGCTCCACCTGCCCCTCGAAGGCATGGAGGCGGGCATGCCCTCGGGGCAAGCGGCTTTGGAGGAGCCCTCACGCTGTTGCTTGTATGCTGGCCGCATGCTCTGGTCTCCTGTTTCCATTGCTTTTTAACACGTCGGGCACGGTCCACCTGTACTGCCGCCCTCCTCCCCTCCAAACCCTTTTGCCTCCCCTGGATAAATTCCTGCTCACCCAACCAGGCCCCTGCAGTGTCACCTTCCTTGTGGAGTCCTGTAGGCAGGTCCGTGCTCCTGGCCTTCACCGGCAACCTGGCCCCTCCCTCCGCTGGGCCTCCATCCCACATGCCTCCACTATGCCATCCACCACCTGCATCATAGCCTTTTATTTATGTCTCAGGGTTCCCTTCCCCGCCCAGGGCCTGGCCTGGTGCCCTACACGGAGTGGGCAGTGAGCCCAGGCTTGGGCAGAGGATGACCGAGCAGCTGATGTGGGTGCGCCAGGCCCCCAGCTGACCACACAGCTGGGCAGGCTCAGCAGCAGGGCGGGGGTCTTCGAAGGTACTGTCTCCCCGTGACCATCACGGGGAAATGTAGGGGGGCTTTGCAACTCTGAAGTTTTCAGGAGGCATATGGGGAGAGGGAGGAGGACTCAGGATTAGGAGGAGCCTCAAGCTTCCCACGCTGAGGCTGAAGATCACTCAAGGATCAGGGGCCGATGCAGGGTGGGACCCAGGCTCCCTGAGCCCTTGGGCCCTACAGCTCCCAGCTGCACCCCACAGTCCCCTGTCCGCCTCCTGTGGCTGTCTCCTGCCTGTCCGCATTCTTTGAGCCCAACAGAGTCACCTCAAGGTCAGCCCTTCGAGAGAAGGTCAGGAGAGAAGGCTGGGAGAGGGTGCCCTGATGGACCGATACGACAGGCTTGCTCAAGCCCGAGCCGACGGGGAGTCAAGTGAGCAACAAGTGTTTGGAGAAGTGTGTGCTGAGGAAGGAAGAACCAACCAAAGCCGGCAGTCTGAGTTCTGGTGCTGGCTCTGCCCATAACCAGTGGCGACCTTGGGAAGGGGCCCGGGGTTCAGGCCGGGGGCTGGGGGCCTGGCTTAGGTCCTTCCCGGCATCCACCTGCTGCAGTTCAGGGAACCTGGGAAGCACACACAGGGGGAAAGGACTCACCCGGAGATACCACCAGACGGATGGCTCTGAGAAAAATGACCCTGGAAGATTCTAAGGTTCCACACCAATACAAACCCGAGTCCTTCCGTCTGAGCGCAGCCATGGTGACGGTGAAGGACCCCAATCGGGGGTAATCTCTGATGACGTATCTCGAGTCTCCAGGCTGGCCCCAGGGCCTGGAATGGGTGACTAATAAGTCACAAGTTTCTTCTGGTGTTATTCTGCACCAAGTTTTCGTCTTGGAACTTTTCTGGGGTGGATACTGGCACGTTACGGAGAGTTCCTCCCCTTCCAGTTTCCGCACCTGCTGCTCCCAGGAGCCTGAGAATAAACCCTGGGGTCAGGGAGCCGCTGCTTATCCCAGAGCTGAGAGGGGCCCCTCCTCAGGAAGTCCTCCATGCACTACACTCAGTGCCCCACACACACACCTCACCCTCCTCCCCATGCCCCTCATGCCACCTCACTAGCATCCCTCCTCCTCTCCCCCACGCCTCTGCCCTCACCTGAGGCCAGGAACACCAGCAGGACAAAGGGCAGCAGGTGCGTGGCCTCCCAGGCCATGGCCCTCTGCGGGAGCTGGGTGGCAGCAGCCACCCTGAGGAGCTAGTGCCAGAGCTGGCGGGTTCAGCAGCCGCCCCTCCTGTCTGGGAAGAAGGGCTGAGGAAGGCTAAGACTGCAGGTGGGGAGGGGGGCAGCGAGGAGGGGAGGCCTGGGCCTATGCAGGACCCTCCCCTGCCCCGCTGCCTCTGAGGTGGCTGGGGGCTCTCTGGGCCAAGCCTGCCCGCTGCCTCCCTCCCGTGGGCGTGGGGAAATCGGTGAAAGCCCGGGGAGGAAACGATGGTGAAATAAGAAGCCATTCCTCCCCCCTCTGTCTCTCCTCTGTCCTTCCACTTCCTTCTCTGCCTCAGCTTTCTCCTCGCCACCATGAAAAGCAGGGCTGAGGGTGAGTGACAGAGGCGGGGGACCCTCTGGAAGCCCCAGTGGTCAGAGGCCTCCTGCCCAGACCTGCTGGGAATTGGGGTGTCCTGTGGGGACCGGAGGGGCAGGAGGAGGTGGGGAGTCATTCTCAGGGGAGGAGGTGCAGGGAAGGTCCCTGGCAAGGATGGGAGAGCAAAGCAGACCTTGTGGCAGGAGGGTGCGGGAAGAAGGTGGGGAAGGAGGGCATGTGGGAAGAATGGGGGTCTCTGCTCTCTGTGTCCCCAGCTCCCCGCTTGCCACTGTCATCACTCCTTAAGCATTTGCTGGAAGGCCATGCTAACCAAGCTCATTTAGAAAATAATTTGTACTTTGCATCCCCGTGACTATTAGTGCCAACAATAACTCGGTGTGGTGCGGGAAGGGGTGGGGAGAGGGGGGGAAGAGAACCGCTTTGTAAGTGTGTGACTGTCCACCTCTACGCTCTACACCTGAAAGCAACACAAAATCACACTGAATGCAAGCTGTAACTGAAAAATAAAAATTGAACTGTAAAAGGAAAGAATCTGTCAGTCGAGGAACTACAGGAAAAACAATTGTCATGGCTGCTTACAGTCACTAGACAGACAACCAGGTCAGAGAGCCCTGCACACGTGCAGGACAGACTCTCGAGGCAGAGACTGGCGGGGCGGGAGGGCTGGGGAAGGAGGGGAACCGGGGGGGGGGGGGGTGTCAGTCACGGTACTGTGACCCGGCTGGGAGGCAAGGGCAGGAGCAGCCCTCGACCACCAGGAAGCTCCAGCCACCCTCTGGGGACAGGCTGCCTGCCCCTTGGGACCTTAGTTCCCTGTGTGGGCTGCCCTGGGAGGGTTGCCTTCCACCCTCACTGCTCCCAGCACTGGGGTGAGTCCCTCAGCCCTGCAGGAGGAGGGGGAGGCCGGCTGAACAGCCACAGACTGCCTGACCTGGAGCGAACCACGGTGTGCAGCATTTGCCAGAGCTGGGAGCCTGGGCTCGCTGGCCAGCCTCACGGTGGCAGGTGACAGGCCCGCCCGCCGGCTCCTCAGTTCAGACATCCGAACGTGCCAGGGGTGCTGGGGCCTTCGCGTCCATCCTTCCCTGGGCCAGTCACCCTCCAAGGGGTACCCTGTCTCATCCCATTGCCCGGGAAGCTCCATTCTCACTGCCTGAGGCAGCCGGGCTTGGCCTGCCTGACACCTGCCCCTGTCTGCACACCTGCCCTGGGTCTGCTGGAACCTGGTCCCCCGGAGCTCAGGGACAAGAGTGGGAGAGGACGACAAAGGTGAGATGCTGGCATTGGGGAGAGGATGTCCCAGAGGCCTGGCAGCTGGGTGGCCGGGGCTGGGTGTGCATCATCTCTAGGTGCTGTGTCCTTCCGGGTCGAGGGTCATGTGGGAGTGGGCTCTACAGAGGGGCAGCGTGCGTAGGTCTGCCTGGCCCAGAGGCCCCTGATCCTGGGCAAGCAGGGGGCGGGGGGATGGCCACCTGCCTGACACAGGGCACACCCACCACCTAGGGACCAAGTCTCTCCCCAACCCCACCTTCCCTTTCCCCTTACAACTGAGGACAAAATAGAGAAATGGGGTCCAGAAGGCTTTAAAAACATAGAAGATGACACACACTATTAAACTTGAAAAGAACTTGAGGACCAGCAACCACAACGCATGTGCTCAGTTGCATAAAGTTCACATCCTTTCGTTTTTATTCTGAAAAGTCTTGAGGTAGGAATGAGTGTCCCCTTCCACAGGAGAAGAAAATTGAGGCCCGGGAGGGTTGGTGACGTGTGCAGGGTCCCCCGGGACAGGTGGCAACCCTGGTCCCTGGTCCCGGTCCTGAGACCTGGGCAGCGCTCTCCGCGGGACAGGCTGGTCTCCTAGGTGACAGGACCGTCCAGCTGCTGTCAGGCCTCCATGGAGGGGGACTCCTGGGGACCCGTTTCCCCAGGTGACTTAAACTCCCTCCAAGTTGTACAGCAGGCGGTAGCCACCCCTTCCTGGTGGAGAGGACAGATGTCAGTGTGTGTGTGTGTGTGTGTGTGTGTGTGTGTGTGTGTGTGTGTGTGTCAGCACCAGGCCAGCCAGTTCCAGTTGAGTCTCCCCTCTGGCGCCCTCTCCAGGACACAGGGAAGAGTTGCCTCCTTCCGATGGTCCCATAGGATCACCCCCAGCCCCCTTCTCTCCCTATTTCCATCTTGGAGTGGCCCCACTAAGGCCCTGGCTGTGTCGGTCTCCTGACCATGACATTTGCTCTCCCGCTGGGGAGGCCCTTGTCCCAAGGCCGAGTAGAGATGCCACATCTAGAACCACATGCTTCTCCAGTCAGTCCAGGCTGCAGACGCCTCTTCAGGGGACAAATGCAGCCGGATGTCCAGCTTTCCCTGCAGGAGGGGCCAGGCATAAGGGGCTGCCACCTGCCAGCTCCTCATGGGACATGGCAGGCCAATGGGCCAGGCTCCTGGGCTGCATCCACCCCATTGGTCCTGCCCACTGCAGTCCTGGGCTGTGGGAGCTCTGAGCTGTCTCCCTGTGTCACAGTGGCTCCTCTCTCCCCAGGGGAGGACGCCCTGGAAGGAGGGGTGTGTGGGGGATGGCAGTCCCCTCTCCCTGAGCTGTGGCCCCCTCCTACAGGGGACCCTCCAAGAGCCCAGATCTGGAAGCCAGGTAGGGACTGGGGAAGACAGTCCTGAGTTCAGCCTCTGCACCCCAGTCTGGGGTCAGGCTGGTCCTGCCATGAGGGGCTGCAGGTCACAGCTGTCCCAGGAGGGGCTGGCCGGCAGGTGGCAGCGTTGAGCGGGTGGGCTCTGCTGGCTCCCAGGACTTGAGGGAGAAGCAGCCTGGCCATCAGAGGTCAGTCAGAGGGTACATGGCTGCAGGGCCGGGCTGGACAGCTCTGGGGACCCTGCTGCCAGTGGCTCTGGGACCCCCAGCTCTTAGTCACCTTCTCCTCCTCCAGGGCAAGCCACTGGACCTCTGGGACTTTCTTCCCCAAGTTCACGGGAAGCTGGAGGGGAGCAGAGGGCAGCTGAGGACACAGGGTCCTGGTGGGGAGAGAGCAGCTGGCCACCCAGCCCCGCTCCCCTCCGCTGGGTAGCAGGTGTCCGAGGCCACGGGAGCTGAGGCTCTGTCTGTAAACAGCACCAGGCGGCTGGGCCGGGCTCTGAGCAGATTCCCTCAGGGCTTCCTGGGCTTCCTGCAGAGTCCCCTCTGGGGCCCTCCCCAGGCTCCTGCAGCCGGGCCTGGACGGGTGAGGTGCAGCCGGGTTAGGGAGGCCTGAGCCCATCCGTGCACAATCCTCACCCCCCAACCTGGCTCCAATCCAGACAGGCCCCCGTCTTCACTTCTGTGACCTCCTGGGGTCCCTCGGGGAAAAGCTCGCCCACTCCGTAAGTGGCTTTAAACCACGCAGGCTTCCACGGAGGCTCCGGCCTTCCAGGCGGGTCCCTCCAGGGCCTGGCAGGGCTCCGGCAAATGCTGTAGCCTGTGAGGATGGAGAGGGATGAGGAGCAGCTCCTGGGCTGGACCCCCCCCCCCCCCGAACCTCCCCCAACTGCCACCAGGTCAGCCAGAGGGGGTGCCGCCTACCCACCCTCCTCCCTCACCTGGGGCCTCGCAGCCCTCCTGTGACTCAGGTGAGGACGCACCCGGGGACCCACCGCCCTCAGGAGGCCGGGAGAGGGCTGTACTCACTGCCCACGTGTCTCTTCTTCCAGAAGCCATAGACCGCCATCATCACCACAGGCACCAACAGCAAGGACAGCACGGCCGCCAGCACAGTGGGGTTAGCATCCCGGGGCCTGAGGAGACGGGAGGGAGCGGATGTGAGCACCAGGTCCCCCACCCCCTCCCTCAGCTCCAGCCACATCTTTACACACCATACACACACACATACTCATACACATACACATACACACACAACCATACACACACCACACACACACACACACACCATACATACATACACACACCACATACACACACACACAGAGATAAACCACACACACCGCACATACATACACACACACACCACACCACACACACACACACACAGAGATAAACCACACACACCACACATACATACACACACACACCACACCACACACACACACAGAGATAAACCACACACACCACACACACACACAACCATACACACACCGCACACACACACACACACACCATACAGACACACACAACATATACACACACCACACACATAAATACACCACACACACACACACACACACACACACACACACCACACACACACAGGAGAGGAGTCAGGATAGGGGAACCCCGACAGCCAGAGGGAAGTGATGGCCTCTCTTCCTTGGGGACCCAGCAGCAGGAGAAGGCAGTGAGGCACGGGGGCCGGGGAGAGGGGTATGCAGGGGGGGGGCGGGGGGAAGAAGGGAGGGGAGGACATCCCCAGGTGGAGGGGAGCATCTCTCCACTTTAGCACTCCTCCTCCATTTCCCCCCAGTCTGCTCGCGGTTGAGAACAGGACTCTAAGAGAGCCCACTGGTGGTAGAGGAGACCAGGGTTCTTATTCTCCTCATAGTGACAGGGGTGCTGTCCCACCCCGTCCCCTGTGTCAGAGGCCGCAGGTGCCCGGCCTGCATTCCTGGCTGCGTCACTTCCACGTACACCCGCCCATTTACTTTTTCTTTTTTAGCCGGAGGAGTTTCTCTTGCCAGTGGCTCCTCCATGACACACGTGGCCGCAGCCTCTACCGATGGCCAACAGGAGCGGAATATAAACACACCAGCAGCCTGGCGCCCCGGCGGCTGCTGGACCCGGCGTCCAGAGTCCCCGGTGGGGCCGAGCTCCGCTGCCCACAGAGGCCGCCCTGGCTCAGCACCCTGTACGCCTCCCTCTGCCCCACTTCCCCATGCTCTCCCCCTGCCCTGGTCTCAGAGTCTGCTTCTGGGGAGCCCAAATTAAACCACCCCATTTCCCACTCCCCGAGCCACCTCCTTGCCCTGTCCCCACCCTCTGCATCCACAGAGCCCCGTGCTGACCCCTCCCACCCTCATTCCCCACTGCCCTGCTTTATGTCCTGGGTGCCCCTTCTCCGTATCAGCTCCCAGCCTCCCACCTCCCCTTCAACAAGCCAGCCCGAACCTCAGCAAGGAGTGGAGGTCGGCTGTGACATGGGCACCGTGAGGTCTGTTCAGGCGCCAAGAACTGTTGCCATGTCTGGTAGCACGTCACTCGACCCCCTGGCCCATGGGTACCTGATGGGGGGTAATTTGTTGAGGAGCGACCGGCTGGTGTGGCACATTCTCATGGTGGGCGATGTGGGGCGCAGTGGCCCGGCCTTGGTGGAGACGGATGCCGGGGCCTCTGAGGAGGCTCTGACATAGCTGGGAGACGCAGTCACCATCTGGGCCGTGATCCTCGTGGTCTCTGGGGTGGAGGGGCTGGTGAAGCTGTAGCCTGACATGGAGCTCAGCCTGATGGTCCCCGAGGCAGGAGAGGGCAAGAGTCTGGTCAAAGTGAGGACTCCGGGTGTGAGCATCCTGATGCTGGTGGTGAAGGGGGCCCCTGGGCCTGAGGTGGGGGCATGGCCTGTTGTGACGACCACTTCACTCTTGAGGATGCCGGCCAGCTGTGTGCGAGGAGTGTTTCTCTCGGCTGTGGGGACTGAAGGCCAGACAGGGAGGACGTTAGAGGAGTTAGGGGCTGGGGTTGCGAGCAGATCCCGCAGCCCAGATGGCTGACTGGATGCCATGATGGGGCGTGTCCTGTCTCCCCTCCTGACCTGGGGCCTAGAATCTGCTCTGCTGAGTGACCAGGTGTGTTTCCTCGGAGGGTGATGTGAGGAGAAGTAGACCCAGTAAAGAAGGAGGAGACTTTCAGTCTCCTCAGCTTCCCCGCCAGGCCTCAGGGGCCCAGAGGACTCGCCTCTCCCCACACCCCTCTGTCTTGTCACTTCTGGACCCTCCTTATTTCTGTGGGTCAAAGAGATTCCTCTGCTGTGATGCTGGACAGGGTCTGTCCAGCTGCTCCATCATTGGTGATGGGATCAGAGGTGAGGACAAGGAAGCGTTGGGGGCCTAGATTCCAAAGGATGATGGAAGCAGCAGATCAGACACCTCCCTTGGGGCTTTCTAAGGACATCAGCTGTGCTACCCTCATCCACCAACCCAGTCCCTTCCCCACCCAGTTCTCTAGAGGGAGGTTGGTGTTTGGATGGTGGGGGAGAAGGGACTTGTAATGCTGCAGTGCAATTCTAGGGGGCAGTGTTGGGTCTTTCTCTTCAGAAAGACAAGAAACTTGGAGAGAGATGGCAGGGGATAGAGAGGGCTGCGGCATCCCACAGTTGTGCTTGACAAGGTTCCTGAGGGCCAGGCGGTCAGCACAGAAGATGCCCTTTTTTCTGGGCAAGGAAACTCCGAGCAAGTGGCATTGGTGAGGGCAGGCTTAGAGGAGGGGCTGACCTGGAGCCAGCTCTCCCACATCTTCCTGCTCAGCAGTGGGCAGACCCTCAAAGGACCTGCAAAGAACTCACAGGTAGGTGCCCTGGGAGAGCCAGCATGTGGACACTCACTTCATAGAGGCTCTCAAAGGTTGGGCAGAAAAGGAGTGGCATCCAACACTAACAGGGTCAGTGGAGTCAGCTTTCTTTTCTGCCCCAAGGAGTTAACAGGGGGGAGACAAGGAAAAGGTGACACAGAGGAACCCTCCCTTCCCCCACTTCCAGAGAGGAAGGAGAGAGAGTTAGACTTCCCCCATTTCAGGTGCCCTGGCCCATGAAGCCTATCTTCAAAGGGGAGCAGAAGAACGCATATATTGCTAGAAGATTCTGGTTATAATTGGGCTGAGGATTTTTTTATTTGCTAATGACTGAAAAGAAATACATAGCTTCACTCTCCTGAAAGTGTCATTTAGAGATGCCGGTTGAGATTTGACATAGTACAATGGTGGGGGAGGGAGGGAGGGATATGCTGAGGAAAACAAAACTATTTCGTGTTTGTATCCCTATAAATTGAGACTTCATTAAACTGGTTTCAGCTACTTCCCTGGGTCTAAGTCGGAACTAGAGAGAGGAGGAGTAAGATAGGGCTCCACACCTGAGAGACAGTAGGGTCCCCAGTTCAGACTCAACAGAAGATGGGGATGCAGGTGGGCCAGGGGCCAGCGAAGGATGGGTAATGAATTCTATCCTCGTTCGCTACTTTTTCAGGCTCTTTCCCTGGCCCCTCGCCTTCTCCTATGTACAAACGGGGGAGGGCCTTGGGGCTAGGTTCTTGGGCCTCCTTCTTTGTTTTCTACACTCAAGGATGAGCTTTTACATCTCCTTGAATGTCTAAGAACTTTACTGAGATATAATTTATATCTCATGTAACAATCCCATTTAGTGTCAATTTCCATGATTTTTAGTATGCGCACAGCCATGCATGTGGTTATATTTTTGTATAACCACAGGCAATTTTAGAAGTTTCATCATCTCAAAAAGAACCTCCTCACCCTGTAGCCATTATCCCTCAGCCCTAAGCATCCACCAACCTACTTTCTGTCTCTATAGATTCCTCTAATCCCCTTGACTTTAAACTGTCTTTGCAGAGACACTTCCCAGCCTCTCACCTGAGCTTCAGGCAGATACATCACCTGCCTGCTTCATTTCTCCATGTGAGGTTCCGGGAGGTATCTTAATGGTCATGGGACACAATAGAGTGCTTCACTTTTCTCCTCCAAACTAGCTCCCCTACCCAGTGGTCAATCCCGCCATCCACCTTCCTGAGGAAATGGACCAAGGGACCATCCTTCACTGGTCCCTTGGAGTCGTCCTTGATTTTTCACTTTTGCTCACCTCCCACATGAGCAAATCCTATCTTGCCTCAAAGAATGTGCAGGGTGGGCAGGAGTCTGACCATTGTCGATGTGAGCCCCTCCTCTTTTGTCCATCTCCAGGGACCACATCCTACTCCAAGACACTGTCATTTCCAGCCGGGACACCCACATGTTCTTACCCTCCCCAGTCCCTCCTCCACACAGCAGCCAGCATTGTCTTAAAGACACACACAGCACACCCACTAAGCTCTCCAGTAGCCATTATACTTAGAATAAAACTCAAACTCCCTCATCATGGACTTCAGGGCTTCTGTTTGACTCTCCAGCCTCATCACCCATCATTCTGCCCCACACTCAATATGGTCCTGCCTCTAAGGCGGGCCTGCCTTATACAGCCCTCATGTCTTCTCGCCTTAGGGCATTTGCACCTGCACTGCCCCCAAGTAAAGACCTTTGGAGCACCCCCATTTCAACACAGTTAGAAAGCTCTCATCATTTAGGGCTCTGCTTGATGCCATCTGCTCAAGGAGGTCAAGGCTGGGACTTCAGCAGCTTCCCCACCACTGAGTTACTTTCTGGTTTATCCCATTCTTTCATTTTCTTAAGAGCATCTATTGTTATCTGCAATTATTGTCTGATGGTATTCTAATGCCTGTTATCTCCCACAGGGCTGAATTTTTAAAAAAAATTTTTTTATTGATTTCAGAGAGAAAGGGAAAGGAAGAGAGAGGTAGAAACAGCAATGATGAGAGAATCATTGATTGCCTGCCTCCTGCATCCCCCCTATTGGGAACTGAATCCAAAACCTGGGCATGTGCCCTGACTGGGAATCGCACAGTAATCTCGTGTTTTATAGGTCGATGCTCAACCATTGAGCCATGTCTGCTGAGCGAGTTGTGTCTGTTTTTGCTCATGATTGTATATTCAGAGCCTAGAATAGCAGCAAGCATATAATTAGGATTCAATGATTATACACTAAATTGAAGAAAAAAAAGCACAGAGAGTCCTGAGTTTGAATCTCTGCCACTAGCTGGCTGTGTTGTCTTAGACAAGGTCAGAGCCACATAGGAATTTTTATATCTCATTTTCTTTGTCTATAAAATGGTGACAATAATGTTCATGAAGATGTGTGAAAAACTGTGAGAGCCCAACTGTGCAGCATACCCACTGATGGATTGTTATTCTTGTTACAACCGATGTTAGTGCAGGGCAGAGCAAGGGGGACACTCTCACCCTCCCCGTGCCCCAGCAGGCCTGCTCACCTGGAGACACTTCCAGCTGGAATCCCATCAGAGGGTAGAGAGTCCCGGAGCTGTTACGCATGCACCAGTACCGGCCTGAGTCCTGGCGCCTGAGGGCCACCATAGTGATGTTGACCACCTTGGCCTGGGTATCGTCCTGTAGCAGGAAGCGCGGCCCTGGTGCCCAGACCCGGGTAAACCCAGGCTCACACTTCTTCCTCCTGATTTTGCACCAAACCTTTCCCTCCACGTGTTTCTTGCGGTTCTTGTAGGAGCACTGCACAGACAGAGTCTCCCCTTCAAAGTGTTGCACTTTGGAGTACACATTCTCGGTGGGAACACCTGGGGAGACATGGCATGTTGAGCAAGGCCCAGCAAGGAGGGGGGTGACATCGTGAAACTTGGAGGGAGAGGAGATGGGTATTGCCCTGCCTACGTGGGACTCATGGTCCCAGGGAGAAGCAGCCCTTCTCTGAGGGAGCTTCCCAGTCTGAGGGGGCAGATGCAGGCCCTGCCTTTAGGGAGCCCCCATCAGAGCCCCTTCTTCATGGTATTTTTCCTTCAGTCTGAAGGAAACATGGCAAGCCCCATGTCCAGAGTCTTGTGGGAAAGACCCAGGATGTATCCTCAATAAGAGACATGCAGATGCAAACACAAGTCATCAGGTTATGACATTCCAGAGCACAATAACATAAGTAGAAAGAAGATCCAATCTTAAGTTGTAAAAACATTAAAAGTGGTTATTTATTTTATAAACTAGAGGTCCGGTGCACAAATTTGTGCACGTTGAAAGGCAATTAATTAGAAGAACTCTTTTAATATCTCTATTCGCTCTTTCTCTTTAATAGAACTGTCAACCAAATTCACAATTGACAATGACAGATGGAAACACATACATGCAATTGGTGCCAGCGAGAGTTTTACATATATAGATAAACTTGCTTAATTAGATCTGCTTTCTGATTTGACTAAACTTTTTCCAGCCCAGTGAAGTCCCCCAACTTCTCTTTCAGGTAATTGTAAGCAACACAGCAGTAAATATCAACATGAAGCAGATGATTATTGTAGACCATGCAGGGAGAACAAAGGATGAAATGTTTAACTGTAGCAGTGTTTAACTATATTCTGAGCAGTGAGAAAACCTTCATTTTCAAGTTCTATTTTTTACTTCTTTTCAGTCAGGTCAAGTTTCTAAACTTTTTCATCTCCATTTCCTGGCTAATGAAAAGAAAATAGGATTCTACTGAGTCTCTTATCTACCTACTCCAGGACTTCTGTGAGGATCAAATGAGATGAGGCACATGAAAACGCTTTACAGACATTTGGTTAAAGTGCAAAATGTTTGCACCTGGCTATAAAGCAAGTCGTGTTCCTGGGCTGAAGAAACTCCAAGGAGGCTAGTCACTAGGGAGAGGAAGCTGGGTATTGCCACATGACGTCATTATCCAGCACCCACAGCCACTATTTTTGGTTTGAACTGTAGGCCACATTTTGCGCCATGAGGTCTTGGCAGTGTTGGCTGCAATTTGGTGAGTTGTCCCTCTGAGGTGATGGCAGGGCCTGTGTCCCACTTGGGGGAAGCTGAGTGTTGCTTTGTTGGCATCAAGCCCACTGTGCCATTTCTATGTAAATGGCCAGTGGTGTCACAGCAGCTCCTGTGTTGAGCATTTACCCTGTGGTGGTCAGTGCACATCATAGTGACCGGATGGATGGTCAGAGGGACACTTAGCATATACTTATATGCTAAGTATACATATATGTGGAGAGAGAGAGAGATATATAGATAGAGATAGAGATAGAGATAGAGATAGAGATAGAGATAGAGATAGAGATAGAGATAGATAGGTTCACTATAGACATCTTTTAAATAGCAAGGTGTCTTGGTTCATTCTAGGTGGTGTTTAATTTTAAAATATCCTAGCTACATAAAACCCATATAATAAATATACCCCAAAGTGCATAGAGCTCTGGCCAGTGTGGCTCAGTTGTTTGCACATCATCCATGCAACAAGTGATTGCAACTTCGGTTCCCAGTCAGGGCAGATACCAGGGTTATGGGCTTGATCCCCAGTAGTGGACGTACAGGAGGCAATTAATCAATGTTTCTCTCTCATTGATGGTTTTTTTCTTTCTCCCTTCCTCTCTCCCTCAGGTATAAATAAATAAATAAATAAATAAATAAATAAATAAATAAATAAATCAATCATAGAAACTCCCACCAGAGTGCAAGCCAGAGAATTCTACAGTTATCCTCTCTTCACTTCCAGCACGTCACACACTGCGCCTAGGGATGAGATGTGGTCTTTACGATCCACGGTCCAGTGGGGAGAGAATAGGTCTAAGTCAGATGTGTCGAGCCAGGGGACAGGAAAGAGAGCGAGCTGGGGTGGGGTCCCTCCACCCCTCTGCCTGCTGTAAGCTCAGCACTTGCCCCTTAATGCCCCCAGAGCCTTCTGCAAAGAAGCACAAATACACAAGTTACTCCCTTGTGTTACACAAGTAGGACAGAACAGAGCACACATTTGGAGTCTAAATACACATGGTTAAAACTCTGATTCTACCACGTGAGCTGATCAGGTTGGTTATGAGAACTATGCCCTAGGACAGTGCCTTGAATACAGTAGGTGCTCAATGAATGGTTCCTTGAGTTGCTCCAGATTTCTCTAGGGCTATGGTAACCAAGGACTGGCACCCAAGGCATCTGCCTCAGTTTCCACCCCAGCTGCCACAGCGGTTAAGGCTGGGAGTAAGGTAGCACACACCATTCCTGAGCATCACTTTGTCTCATGCAAATTAACACAGTGACCCAACTCAATTATATGGTAGGTGAGAGGTTTGGGGGCCCCAGGATGGCTCAGCCCAGGAGACACTCTTCTGCCCTGGCAGAAGGGGGGCATCCCTGAGGGGGATTCCTGGACGGGATGACCTTGGAAAGGGACTCCAGGGTACTGGATTCTTTGGTATCCACCTTCCAGTCCTCTCACAAAGGGTGAGGAGTGGGTTTTGCCAACCCCCTCCATTCCCAGAACTGAGCAGGAAGTGGTAACTTGGTTGCCATAGCAACGAGGGAGGCAGGATTGGGTGAGGGCCCACCTTAAGGAGCATTGGTGCCTGTGGGTGAGGAAGCCCTCAGGGATTGCTTTCCCTCGGGACAGGGGGCAGTGGCATCAGCATTCTGAGAAAAAGCAAGTTCAAAGCACACAGGCATGATGCAATGATTCCCGTAACAGCCAACAAGGCTTTCCTGACCGAGGCCAGGGGCGCGGCTTTCTGAGAGAGGAACTAGAGTGTCCTCGGTCAGAGGTCCCCAGGGAGCCCTGCAGAGCGGCTCTGAGCTCAGCAGACCTGGGGCAGCTCTGCCTGAAGCCAGGTATTAGGGTGGGACCTTCTCGTTGGTCTCTAGTAAGAAGCTCCTTAGGCTAGCCCAACCTCCCCCTCTCCTCCTCCAACTCCACACGATAGTATACAAGGTCATTGGGCAAGAAAAAGCCAGGTGGGAGGGTCCAGCAGAAGGCCGTTCCCCCACCCTGGCGCCCCCACCTTCTCACCTGAGGTGCAGCCCTGGAGCCACAGCAGGAGCAGCAGCAGGAGCAGCGTGGGAGCCATGGCTCCATCCAGCTGCGGGCAGGCACAGGCCAGAGGGGCCGACACCTGGGGCCCAAGGTCAGGGCCCCCGGAAGGTGCAGGATGGACCCCTTGGGTCAGCCAGGGGAGAACCTGGGCTTCTCAACGTGAACCTGCCCATTTAGGGAAGTGAGGAAGTCACGGGACCGCTGTAACCAGCAGACCGCAGGAGCCCGCAGAGCCTGGGAGGGCGGTGCCGCAGCTGTTTCCGCCCCTCTTCCTCGAAACTTCAGGCAGCTGTGGCTGCACCACCCAGCCTGGGCCCCCAGCCCAGGGAGGACTCACGCTCTCTGGATTCCATCCTGGAAACTGGTCCAGTAGCCGTGCTTCCTATTCTGAGACCAGAGGCTGGTGTGAAGTTTCTAGAACTTCAGGTACAGACTTCCCTGGAACGCTCTGGGCTAACACCCAGGGGTAGGGCTTATGTGGCCAGGCCCAGGCATCAGGCATCTTGGACATCACATTTTTCACAAATACACACTCAAAGGAGGCTCTTATAAACTCACATTCATTCATTCATCCCTGCTGGATGCATTCATTCTGGCATGTTCTCTCTCTCACTCTCTCTCTCTCTCTCTGTCTCTCTGATTCCTGGTTGGTCAGATCAGAACTGTCACTCCCGCTTACACTTACAAATAACCTACATGCTCAAAAGCAGTCTTATTTTTGTCACGGTTCGAGTGACAGGAAAAAAAATTCTAAAACTCAGAGCCTAAGCTTTGGGTTCAGGGAGGGGCCTCTGTGCCCTCACACGTGGGGGCACATGCACACACACACTCACACATACACACACTCACAATCATATACACACTCACATACACACACTCTCACGTACACAGCACGAACACACAAGCAAGCGGCCTTTCCTTTTCGCTACACGTCTCCCTGGCCCTACCCTCCTCTCCAGCTGTCCTGCCGCCCTGCCTACTCACCCACCAGCTCTCAGGAGATTCCTGCTCCCTCTTGCAGGCCTCCTAAAGCAGCCCTCCCCCACCGCCTCCCCAGAAGCCACACCCCCTGCCCCTTCTCCCCCAGCTCTGGCCCCAGCCAGCACACAGGCAAGCCTACTCCACTTCCTCCGCCAACCCTATCTCACCGGGACAGCCACCCAGCGCCAGCTATAATGACCCAGCACTTGGCCAAGACCCCGCCCTTCACCTAGTCCCCAGGGCTGAGAATCCAAGGCCGCACTGCGGACAGCCAGGCGCTGTGTCATCTGCTCCTTCGGGCGTGCGCCCAGGACAACGCGTGCTCCCCCACTCACCTGTGCCAACGTCCTTCCCCTTGGATGAGGTCAGAGCAGGAAGCCTCTAGTTTGCATGGCCAGACCCAGTCTGGAACTGAGTTTGAGCTTCCAAGTCCCAAACCAAGGAATTTCTCATCTTTGCTGACCCTAAACTTTTAGTCTCTTAACTTACTTGTGGATTCATTCCTTCATTTGTCTGTGCTAACAGTCTGACCTGCAATGGTGGTGCCAGGAGTGGGGAAGAGGAAGGGGACCCCGTTCAGCCTCCAGAAGACCTGTCATGCTTTCCTCAGCCGCCCTTCCTTTCAGCATTCTGCCCCAAGCCTCGGATCCCTGGATCCCCACTGGGAGGCTATCTCACCTCCCAACGCACGCGCTGTCTTTCTCCCTCCCTCCGTCCTTTCTTTCCTTCCTTCCTTCCTTATTTCCTCCCTCTCTTCCTTCCTTCCTTCCTTCCTTCCCTCCATCAGCACAGTCAACACTTCAGGGTGGGATCATTTATCCCTGCTGGGAACCTATGGTTCTGCAGTTGGCATTGCTACAAACCTCTGCCGTGTGCCCCTGTGCCCGCCCGGAGTGAGGCACTGTGAGAGGTGCCAGCACAGCGGTGTTGAGGAGGGACTAAGAACCCAGACACTCATTCCTGACAGAGGTGGTGTAAACTGGATTATATGTTCTTTAAGGGAAATTTGGAAGAATTTATCAAAATCTCTAAAAATGTGTATACTTCATTCAGGCTTTTACTACAAAATAAAATTTTGAAATATATTTTTATTGATTTCAGAGAGAAAGAAAGAAAAGAGAGAGAAAGAGAGAGAGAGAGAGAGAAAGAGAGAGAGAGAGAGAGAACAAAGAGAGTCGTTAATTGGCTGCCTCCTGCATGCCCCCTACAGGGGATCAAGCCTGCAACCAGGGCATGTGCCCTGACCTGGAATCGAACCGTGACCTCCTGGTTCATAGTTGATGCTCAACCACTGAGCCACACCAGCTGATCATACAAAAATAATTTATACAGCATTATACTTACCTGTTTCTTTCTTCAAGGTGGAGCAAAAGTTGGTTTACTGTTGTGAGTATGTAACACAGAGTTTATTCTTATATTATTACTAGAGGCCAATATATGAAATTCATGCAAGAGTAGCCTTCCTTCCCCCGGCTACTGGCCCCAGCTTCCCTCCAGCACCAGAGACCCAGGCTTCCCTCGCAGCACTGGTTCCATCAAGAAGGACGGCCAGTCTAATTAGCATATTACACTTCTATTATTATATACTAGAGGCACAGTGAACAAAATTCATGCACCTTAAAAAGGAATTAATTAGAGGAAATATTTTAATATTGCTATTTGCCCTTTCTCTATAATAGAAGTGTCAGAGATGAAAGAAAATTAGTAAAATGTGTATGAAAATCTTCCTCCTGTCAGACTCTGGAGTGCACCACAGGAACCAGGGTCAAGTCCCTGCCCACCTGTGCACCTTGAAATTGCGCTAGACCCAGACCAGGCAGCCTTACCCGCCTTGGGAAAGATCCAGACCTGGCCAGCCCCACCCCCATTAAGTCCTGGGCCTGACCACAGCCTCAGGTCCCTCCCCCAGTGCACTCTCAGGTCCCCTGACCTGGTGTCATGGCAGGGGTCACTGCCTGAGGTTTCCCATCAAGCTCTGCCGGACAGAGGGTGCAGCCTCAAATCCCTCTCCCCAGCCTGACACCACACAGCCTCAGGTCCCTGCTGATCACTCCTTAAGGCTCATTACAGGAGGTCTGTCTGTGGGCGCAGACCTCTTGTCACAGCATGCGAGATACTTTGCATATTACCTTTTTATTATATAGGATGTATTACTTATTGTTTTCTGTACTAATGGGTGTAAACCTACTTTTGCCCCAGCCTGTATTTCCATTATAAAAAGTGTCGTTTGCATAGAGTAAAATTCACTCTTTCCGGTTGGAAGTGCTGGGAGATTGGCATATCTGCAGGGATGGGTAACCACCACCATAATCAAGATACAGAAACATTCTGCACTCCCTAAAGTTTCCTTGGTAGTCATCCGCTCAGCCCCCCCTCAGTTCCCAGCAAACACTGACCTGTTTCGGTTTTCCCCCCTCTATAGTTTGCCCTTTCCAGAACATTATGAAAATGGATGATACAGCCCTGCCCAGTTGGTTTGGAGTGTCATCCCGTGCACTAAAAGTCTATGGGTTTTGTTCCCAGTCAGGGCACATAACTACTTATCAGATTCTATCCCCTTAGTTTGGGGCAGGTAAAGAGGCAACCAATGATGTATCTCTCTCACACCGGTCTCTCTCTCTCTCTCTCTCTCTCTCTCTCTCTCTCTCTCTCTCTCTCTCTCTCTCTCCCGTCTTCTTCTCTTCTTCTCTCTAAAGTCAATAAAGCACATCTTCAGGTGAGGATTTTTTTTTAAGGAATATTCTGGACAGTGCTCAGTGGTTAGATCATTGCCCTGCATACTGGGGAGTGGGGGATTCAAATCTCCATCAAGGTCATGGGCAAAGGCAAGTACCTGGGTTGCAGGTCCAATCCCCACTCCCAGCAGGGATGCATGTGGGAGGCAACCAATCAATGTGCCTCTGTCACATCGATGACTCTCTTATCTATCATCTCCCTCTCCCCACCCCACCTTTCTCCCCCTTTCTCCTCCCTTCCACTCTCTCTAAAATCAATGGGGAAAAAAATACCCTGACTCCTTGAGTGAGGAGAAATTAAAAAAAAGAAAAAAAGAAAAAAAAAAAAAGGCCCAGAGCAGCAGCTGCCAAGCTGGGAGTGGCCGGGCCCGGAGCAGCCGAGCCCTGAGCAGCCGGGCTCAGAGCAGCAGGGTCGGGTGCTGCCAGGCTGGGAGCGGCCTAGCTCAGAGCGGCTGGGCCCGGAGTAGCCGGGCCCAGAGAAGCCGGGTTGGGTGCTGCCAGGCCTGGAGCAGCAGCAGCCAAGCCCGGAGCAACCAGGTCGGGAGCGGCAGTGGCCAGACCCGGAGCAGCTGGTTGTGGAATGGACCAGAGCAACAGAGGCCAGGCCCAGAGCAGCCAGGCCCGGAACAGCTCGCTCCTCGCCTACCCCCGCCCCAAGGCTGCCTCTCAGAGATGGCTGGAAACTTTTGCGGGAACTTGAGGGTCTGTTGAATCAAGTGATGAAGGCTTAGATCTGGATGTGTTGAGTTAGTATAGCGCTGGGGTGTTGATCTGAGTGCCTTGTGCGAGGCCTGGATGAGGTTGGTGGACCTATTTGGAAATGTCTTTTGTGTGAAGTGTATCTTTGGGCATGTGGAGGTATTATTGATATGAGAAAATGCTAAGTAACTGATTTACTATATGAAAAGGGATTTACTATCGGGGAAAAGAAGGGAGGAAGAGACTGAACATAAACTGTGCACCTATGGATGAGGACGATGGGGGAGGGGAAGGGGGCGGAGGGTGGGGTGGGAACCTGGTGGAGGGGGGAAGAAATGAGGAACCTTTGTAATAATATGAACAATAAAAATTGATTAAAAAAAAAAAGAATGATACCATATGGGTCCTTTTACTTAGTATAATGCATTTGAGATGTGCGTTGGGTGTTTTAGTAGTTTGTTCCTTTTTATTATGAAGTAGGATCCCATTGTATAGATGTACCACAATTTGTTTGTTCATATCCCAGTTGAGAGACATTCAGGTTGGTATCTAACTTTGGATTATTCCTTGTTAAACCACTATAAATATTTTTACATAGGTTTACATAGGTTTTCATTTC